AATCTTATACAAGCTTCGAGAACAAGAATTTTTCACAATCTACTCAGCAATTGGCATCCAATCAAATCAATTTTGGTCTAATTAAGGCTTTAAAACGGGCACGAGCAATACTCATCATTCTTATTTTGATCGAACTCGTACGTTGCAAATAAAAAAAAATAAAAAAGATTAATGTTGAGATAAAATTGAATTCGATCTACTTCTAATATTACTATTTAGACTTTCATATTCGCCTATTTCATTCGACACTTAACCACAATAATCAATTATCTTCGATTTAACGAAAGTCATCGTAATAATGCTTATGTTAATATTTACATTAGTACTGTGGTAATATGTAAGCCATCGATTTTGTTTTGAAATCCGTCTTCCGTTTTATTTTTATAGGTATTATTGGATTAATCTATGAGTTGCTTTTCCTTCTTATGGTTATCAAATATACTCGCATTGGTATTTTCATGGTGAGTATGATTTTCTTTTTTATGTTCACTTTTTTTAGCATTCATCTTTTGTTGTGATAGTTTGCTTGGATTGGCATCTTTAAACTTTTATGTTTTGTCTGTCTGTTAATACTACTTATCATTATAACTGCTATTGGTAAAGAGATTATTATCATCGTTTTAGCTGCTCTTGCTAGTATTTTAAATGTAAGTACTCGCCTATAACTTCATTTTTCCTATATTCAATGATTGATTCCATGTTGTAGATTCTGACGGTTATCTACGCATTCAAACTTGCTCAATTGATCAAAGAGCAAAAGATGCAATTAGGACTCTAAATACATTCTACTATGTATCAAGTTGTCGACGAACAAATTGAACCTTTATTCTTATTATTTATCTATCAGTTAAAATAATATTCACTATGCAGCTTGTAGAGCTTTTCACGCTGAATCTTGTAGTATATTTTATTTTTTAATAAAACTTATTTAGAGATTTACATATGAGGCACTCTTTATATGTTTATTCTTTGTTTTATTATCAAATAATGACTATTTATTCAGTTAAAATTTGTTAATAGTAGAATATAAAGACTTCATGATGATCTATCGGATAATTATTTCTGATGGATGTGGCTATCTTTTCATGAAATATCTCCAAATATATACTAATGTTCAAATTAGTTATAAAGAATGATGAAAAACATTTGCTTATTTCCTTAATAGATATATATTAGATAAAAAGTAGTGGTTGATTTTGAGAAGTCCAATGAGTATAAATCATAAAACTCAAGAATATTTTTATTTATTTTCTTCTCTCAAATAATCTAAAAGAAAATTTCTATAACAACTAAGTTTTTATTGTTTGATTTGATTTATTTAGGTATGCCTTCTATGAATTTGTATTTGAACCACTAGAGCAACTAGCAATTGAATAATGATATCTGTAACATAAATATTGAATAATATGCTGCAGTATAACAAACTGATCCGCATCACAATCACGAATTTTTGTTCGAAGTTCATTTTCTAATACAGCTATTATTTCAAGAATAATATAATGAATCAAGATCAAGATTTCGAACATATACAGTATGTTCAAACTAATTTTAATAAATTCAAGTCTATTTTATCAAGTAAATATTATAAGAGCATAGTAAGACTTTCAATTATTAAGTATATATAATGAAGATGGGTGCATATATGAGTATTAATCTTCTCGGCACTCATATGCTTGAAAACCGAAATAATCATCATCAATTTAATAGATGAAATAAAAAGGACTAGGAATCATCAACATATTCTCTATTGCTGGTAGTGATATATCTAACCTACTGTCAAATCGTATTGGACTATAAAATCCGTTGAATATGCTATGAGTTCATGACTAAATTTAGCATTTTTTTGAAGCCAAAATGTTTTGTTAAATTTAACTTTCAAATAATTTAATCGTGACTCAAATTCTTCATCATCAGCATAGTAGAACAGATCAGTGAAAAATAATTGAAATTTAACTAGATTTGAACAATAATTCGTTAACATTTGTTCCCAATCATTATTGTCATCCAATAGTAGATTGATATAACATTCGATTTTCAATTTCTTTAACTTCAAAAAACTTTTTAATACGAATTCAATTTCTTTAAATGTAATAGTATGGATAACTTTTAAATTTAAGTTAATACAGTTCACCAGTAGGAAAGTATTCAAATCTTCCTGTCGTTGCTGTTCCTTCTGATCTTGAGTGCAAAGTGTAAGATAAATCGATTTTATGTTTTGTATATCTGGTAAAATGATTTGAAAAGTAGGTATTTGAAATCTTATTACAAACGAAAAGTATTTAATATTTCTTCTTATTGTTTCTGGATTCGTTATCAACATCTTGGATGATGGTTGTTTGATGGCATGATGCAATATACAGCATTGTAGTGAAGAAAAACTATTCTTTTCGATGAATACTAAATGCAGAAGATGATTGATATAAATATCGACATAAGTACTCGATCGTATTCCAAGTTCAAGCGAACAAAGATGGGTTAACTTTGCGACTTGATGGAGGATTACTATTGCGTTAAGAACATTACTCGTATTTACAAACAATAGTACTAATGAACGAAGATAGACAAAATTATTGACAGGATAGAGATCGAAAAAAATGCTGAATTTTATCATATCTCATGAAAAGATCATTCTGAACTTTTAACATTAACATTTGTACTTTTGAAAGGTTAATGTATGGCAAGATAATGTGGAGACAGTACTCGAAGGTTTGTTTAGTGGATAAATCTAAATTGATGTTAGTGGCATTCAAAATTAAATCAATTCTTGAGTTTAGTCCTTTGAATGTGCGATATAAATCGACACTATCGAAATAATCGAACAAATCGTGCCATAATTCGATGGATAACGATTCTATCCATATTGGTAACGTTTTTGCCATATCTATAAAAGTAAAGAGTAATTTAATTGTCACTGAAGTTTAGCGTTCAAAGAACAAAATTAACACAATACCTAACCAACTAAGTGTTGATTATTCTTTGGATTTCATCAATCTAATTTCACCTATCTTTATTTAGAACAGTAGCATAGCTGCATCAAAAAGAAAAGAAAAAATATTTGTTATTGAGTCATGTTCGACGTGTTTAGAAAATGAATTTCGTAATATGAGAAAAATTTTAGAAAGTGCTTGCAGTTAAAAGAAAAATAAAACGATGAACAAAAAAAAATGAGACATTAAATTTCACAATTTGTTCAACATTTCTTTTCAATAGCTTAATATTATTAGAACAAATGTATCGAAGTGAATACTAATTCAGAACTCTACAATTGTCTTAGGGAAAACTCAAAAAATGGTTCCTAATATTGGATATGCCTGATGCATTTCTAATTCATTTGTTTATATTATTATCATGGTTTTAATCTCGGGATATGAGTTTTTTTTGTAAATTGAAATAAAGAATATGATACATTTTCAATTTCGAACAATCAATATGAGCTAAAGACGAGCATATCTAACTGTTATATTGGTAGGACCGTAGAATACAAATCTATTAGTTAAATAAGGTAAAATTTTATTAAAGATCACGATACATTTTGATATCTTCTAAGGTTTTTTATATCATTTTATATTTATGATATTAATGTTGGCTCAGATATAGAATTCGTGCTACAGTGATTATGTTTTGAGCGAAACCTATATGTTAAATTGAGTATGTTGATCAAAAAGTTCTTTCAACTAGAACAAATAAAAAGCTCGTTCATGTTAACTGATTTCGATCATTTTGTCCCTAGGACATATTTGATAATATCATAGTTTTCTGTTCGACTGAATAATACTAGTGAAAACATTAGTTTTTTTTTCTTTCTAAGAATATCAATGAGTTACAGTACTGAAAAATTACAACGATTATATTTTTTGTATGATAGTTTGTTTGAGAATTTTATTCATTAATGAAGACGAATGTCTATATTGAACGANGATCAAAACAAGACCAAACTAGTTTGAACTAACAAAGCAGCTATGCGACCGAAATAGGTCGACTCCGGTGGATATCTACCGATTAACCACACTGCTGAGCATTGTGCCTCGATAAAAGTTATCATTCCACAGAGAATCAAATGCTGGACTGTGTAAAATGGATCCGAGAGAGAAGATAACGTCCCGGATCACCATAACCAGAGAGGTTTTCTGCTAGGGTCCATTCGGGTGGGTATCTGACCAATAACTCCCGTTCTTTGCTTTGGTTTTACTTGAAAATACAACCATTCGATAGACAATCGAATTCTACACTCAGCAAAAGGCCTTCGAGAGTTAGCACAACGGCAGGGATCGAGATCACCTGGAAGGTTAGTTGGAAGGGTCCATTTGGGTAGGTATATGACCAATAACACCCGTTCCTTCCATTGCTTTTATCTGAAAATACCACCCTTCGATAGAGAATTCAATTCTGCATCCAGCACAACCAAGTAGGGAAACAGCACAGATTGATTTTCGAATCGGGACTGGAGATAATGTAAAAATGTGATTTTTTTGGGTGGTATTAGGCCAGAAACCCCAACTTTTTGGACGACGAGGCTATCGAAAACTTATACCGTTGGATAGAGCGTAAAATTCTGCATCCAGCACAAGCAAAGAGAGGAACAGCACATGTTTATGCGCGAATCGGGACAGGAATTACATCGTTTCCGAATTCGTCACATAGAGGGAAAATCAGTTTTTTGGTGGTAGACCCTATTTTTTGCTTGACGACCTTGGTCGAAGTTGGCACTATTCGATAGAGAATTAAATTCTGCATCCAGCACAACCAAGCAGGGAAACAGCACAGACGTAGGGGCGAATCGGAACAGGAAATACGCGAATCTGGTGCTAACATTACCTACGTTAAAACAACATATTTTTACTATTTTGTTATCAGTCCCATGTTAACATATGTAATGTTTCTTATACATACATAAATGCGAGTCTTTTCAATCAAATATGAAGTGAATTCTGTCTCCATTTTAATACTTTTATTCTACACAAAACAATTTATTTTACATCAATATTGATAATAATCAATATTTATACATTTGGAAAATAGTTTTCTGCATATTCAGGAAGCCGATGACCATTGAGACATAATGAACGAAGTTTTGCACAATTGATTCGTGTTGCATCTCTTGTAAAATTGTATGTCACTCTTTCCAGTTGTTCAAGGCGAATGTTTAGATGAACAGCATTATCTGGTAAACATATTTTCGTATGAATTAGAAATTCTTCAATATAATCATCATGATCAAAGTAAAGTGTAAGAGCTGTAAGATAGGGATATTTAATGATGGAACAAACTTGATTATTATTCTCTGATTCTTTGGATAATTTATTATTTTGGGATTTCGAATTTTCTATAGACAGAAATGTAATAAATGGAAATGATGGAGCAATTCGAAGAAAAAATTCATGTTCAAAAGGATGTTCATCCTTTAATGTTATTTCACGAACACATGTAAATAAGCCACCAGGAAAATTATTTGTTACAATGTAATAATATCTTAATTTTTCAGGATACAAATAGATATGACATAGACTCCATTCTCTTTCTTCGAAATGATCTATATAAGAAATAACGTGATCATCTTTAAAATCTCTGAATGTATGTTGAATATCTTCTTTTGATTGTAAATAAATTTGATTAGAAGTATAAATGTTTGAGCAAATATAAAATTCGAATCTCTTTAATAGTGGCAAATGATTAATAATATTTTGCTTCAAATCATTTCCATCAATAAATGTATTTCTGACAGAAATACCGAGATTTAAACTAAGTTTTTCCAAATTCGACATTCGTCGTAGAAATGGTACAATTATTTCACGATAAACATTTGTTATCTCTTCACAGTATACTGAAAAACATTTTATATTAGGTATAGGTAATGTTTCCTATAAAAATCATATAGTGCATTTGTTCAAAAAAGTTAAATATTAATCAAAATAATCTACCTGATTATGGTTTGTTAAATCCGAAGACTTAATGCATCCAATATCAACATGAAGTGTATGAAGTTTACTAAAACGTCCATCAAGTATATAAAGACAATCAGAGAACCGCGTCAAACGGACATCCAATTCTAAGAGAGTTGAAGAGTTAATACCTGGAGATGGATTGACAAATGATAATCGATTATTCCAAGTTGATGATGGACAAAAATTTAAACATTGTAGATTCGAGTACGTAGTAAAGATATGTGTTAATATAGTTCCATTCATATTGTTTGAAATTATTTTTCCATATGTAGTACGTTCGATCACAAGTGCTAAAATTTGACTTTTATCTATAGAAGTTGAGGAAGATCCGTCTAAATAAAAAGTAAAAATTTGATAAAACACATATTTATCAAGTTTTATATTATTTATACAATTAATGTATTTATTTATTTTTTCTTTTTAACAATTTCGAAATGTATATGGGTAGTTCCATACGAAGTCTAACACAAATACACAAAGTATTCAGAAAATTTTCGTTTACTAGACTTTGTAGAGCTTTTTTTGCTGATCATTTTGATGTAAAAAAGTTGCGAACTTCATTAAGAAATGACGGAGCTATATCCACAATAAAAAACATAGTAAAGTAGTCTGAAATGCTATTTTTTCTGTTAAAATATCAGAGAAAGTTGGGTCTCTGATCTCCAAGAGGTCATTTTCCCGTCAGATATGGCAACGTAGGTTTTATAGAGCAAAATTTTCTCTACAAAACCCTATAGGTGATTTCTCAAAGACGATAGAAAAATATGGAATAAATCTTAGTGAAGCATTGTATATGATATTTACCGTATGAAACAGGGTTTTTGATAGGAATATTGTATGGAGTATTGTATTGGAATTTATTCCATATTTTCCCATCGTCTTTGAGAGATCACCCATAGGATTTGGTAGAGAAAATTTTGCTCCATAAAACCTACGTTGTCATATCTGACGGGAATATAAGCACTTGGAGATCAGAGACCCAACCTTTTCTGATATTTTATCAGAAAAAATAGCATTTCAGACTACTTTACTATGTTTTTTTATTTTGGCTATAGCTCCGTCATTTCTTAATGAAGTTCGCAACTTTTTTTATATCAAAATGATCAGCGAAAAAAGCTCTACAAAGTCTAGTAAAAAAGAAAATTTTCTGAATACTTTGTGTATTTTGTGTTTGACTTCCCATGGAACTACCCACATGTATAATCTTTTTTTCTTTCAAATTCTTCAATAAATTATATTTTATCATCGACATTGTATTTTATTTCAGTCATCTATATACTCTACATTTTCTTCTTTTAGAATCAATGTTTAAAATTTCAACTAAAGACATTACAGAATTTTATTCAAATATTGTTTTAATTATAAGTAATTCCATGTATTGCTTTTCTACTGCTAATTTTCTTCAAAGTTATGTTCATTGGTTTGTATGAAAAAGTTCAGAAATATTTTATAAAAAGTTGTCTAATAATCTAAATCTATTCGTATAAATTAGATACTCAAAATCATTTTCACTCTTGTATATATATCATTAATTAATTAATGAAAGAACTGAGAAAAATATCTTACCATTAACTAGAGATAGAACTGTTTCTATCTCAATATCATATAAACCAAGTCCATATAAATTCGGATAATTTGTAGCAAGAAGAATACGTTTCATACTTGATGATTCAAGATTAAGCCATTTGATATTATGATGAATTTCAGGTAAGATTTCTGAACAAAACCGTTCAAGTATTGAATCAGGTAATCGATCGATAGAATAAGCTGAGAAATCTTTCATCAACGTTAAGCGATTTGCAAAAATTGGATCATGTACAATTGCATTGAGTCGTTTGTTAACACCTATTAAAGAGTACAATACTTGGATATTCCACAATTTCTTCAAAATAATCATAAGAATCTCGTCAGGTAAATCATTTAATTGAACCAATGAATGTTCCATGTTTATTTTCACTTATCTATCTTTTCGTTTATAAATATAAACATTCATGTATATATATATATATATATATATATATGCTCATTGAATTTATTTGACCGATGTCATCATTCATTCATCACCAATAAAAATAATAAAGCATTTTTCTATAATCAAATTCATGGTGAAGGAACGAATGAAAAAATGGCATCGTTTCTCTGTCTTTCTTCCTTTCTTTCTCTTTTCTTCTATATGCGAATGAACGCTGACAAAATTTCCTAATATCTATATGTAAATATTGCTTTATTTTAAGAAATGCAATGTGCGATATATCATCAGATGTCGGTGTCATGAACGAATTTCTTTGCTGTGGCAGTAAAAGAAGAAAATCATACATAGAGTGCTATAATAATAATTAAACATATGGATAGAGAAAAGTTAAACCACTATATAGGTGCTTCGTACCTTAAAAACTCGCGAAGGACTATATAAATGCTGAGCTTCGCACCGCATTAAAAGAAAAGAAATTACCAGAGTATAAGAAACAGAAAAGGATTATGATGAGATTTATCAACTTTCACAGCTTTCTTTTTTATTTCATTTTAATTTATAACTTGAAATTGATCAAATTCGAAATTCGAAATTGACTATCTATACCGAAAGTGGAGTTCTGCAATTATTAAAATTATCCGAAATCGGGAACGCAGTCCCATTTCATGGTACTAAAAATGAAATAAAAATGATTCTGGCTCGGTACCCGAAAGACTAAATGAAATCAGAACTGCTAAATCACCAGATATATGCCGAAATTTTGAAACTAATTTTGCAAAATCTTATCTGCTAAATTGTTGACATTATAGACAGTTCAGATTTTATTACTTAGATAAAACAAAATTTCACATATGTACCAGAATCTTTTATCTAAAAACTTAGTTAATCAAGATTTCTGAAAATAAGTTTTATTTTTTTTTTCATTTATCTATGACTGTACGGTTCTAGTTTTTTTTGAACTACCAAACTAATTAAAAATTTACACCAAAATTGAACATGGATGTTTGTCCAATTGATAAATGATGCTTGATGATATAAAGTCGTTAATTGAAATTATGGCTCTGGACAAATCAATTGACATCTTTTTCTTTACTTATGGATCTTCCTTTTGGAAGAAATACTTTCCATCACATGTAGTCAATAGTTAAAGATAAGTTGTTTTAAGTTTACGTTACAAGCTGATAGATTTGTTTGGATGAGCTAATAAAACAAATAATTTTGTCCTAAATGGCAGGGCTCAATATGAGCTAATTTTTTGTAGCCCGACTTGGCCCAAACTGCTCCAGGTATTGTGTAGATTCGCCTGGTTCGATTCACGTTTAGCTCAGACCAATCCAATAGGTCCGAAGGATATTTCATTTACCAAGATTTTTCTTTCCTAAGATAATTTAGATATCACTTCACTGTTTTACTGCATGTCAAAGATTTTCTGTACATATAACTCTGGATGTATAAGCAAATGTTTTTAAACTAGATTTTGTTTGTCTTTTTGTTTCTTTACTTTAAATTTTATCATTGTTCAAGCACATGATCGGTGAGTAATTTTTATCATTTCTTAGCAGTTTACTCTAATATATTATTATCTGTTTAAAACTATTTTTTGAATTTGACGATACTAGATTTTATCCACGAAAAATTTCAGACACAGTTACAGAATTGTGACTTTATGATCATTTAACTCTTAATTATCTCAAATGTGTGATAGTATAATGAGTGAAAATTCGCATGAAAGGATTATATTTAGAATTTAGAATGGTATAAAAAGCATCCATTAAATATGGAATATTTGTTATCATATTGCACCTACATTTTTACACAGATGACGACCACTAATTTAATATGGGGATATTTGACTATGGTTAATTAATTCTTTGTTAGTATAAAATGATGAAATTAGTGACACTTGTTGTGAAAGAATTCATTAGTTCCATTGCGGCATATTTATAATGAGTAAAATATTTCAATTCCAACATAACATGCACATTAATTTCTACTTTTGTCAAAAGTAGAAGCAAAAAACTTTCTTTGTAGCACAAATGCGAGAAATATATCATTTTTAGACGATTTCCGTTTCTTGTAGTATATTAATGTGCTCTATTGAAATAAATAAAATAACGAGTCAAACAAAACTTGATTTACATAAATATTTTCTCAATTCTAATAATAAATATTGTCTTTCTAAAAATCAGTTCTCTTGAATATTTATAACAAATATAAAAAAGATTTTTCCTAACTCTTATATTATATTTATATAGTTTAAATAGAAGGGAAGGGCATCTATTGAAATTAAATGAAAACTGTTTTTTTTATATATATTACGAAATATTGAATTACATATTGATCTCATCGAAATAATAATTTGTACATATTTGTACAAGTTCAATGAACAAGAATAATGTTCATTTTAAATTGACTAATCATTTGAATATAAAAGCAATAACCCCTAGAAATAGAAATTCATCACAAAGATTTATTCCAAAAGAATAAACTATAGATTCGAACAACATATCACACGATTATTTAAACGAAGAGGAATAGATAAAAGGTCATTTCATTCGTATTATTTAAACGAAGAGGAATAGACGTAAGTTATTTCACTTGTAGTATTTAAACGGAGAGGAATAAACAAAAGTTGGTTCATAAAGAACTATGGTTCATTTTTAGATTTGGTACAACAACAGACAGATATCTATCGTTATATTTGTTTGTAAATGCTATTTCTATGAATAACGTTGTTTTTCTAATATAGCACCTTCAATAAATAAATTCATTAGCAATAGATACATCAAATAAAGATGAACAAACTTGTCAACTTCTCGAACAATTTGATCATATTCTTAAACGATCTGAAACATATATTGATTCAAATAAATCATGTCAAGAAGTAAAATTATTATTTCTATATATTTCTTTTAGAATTATTACTTATAGGAAATATGGATTTCTGATGAAAAAACTGCAGACGCTTCGAAAATTATCAAAAAAAGGCAACGTTTGTTTCAAATCTTTATTAAATTTTCGACGAAATTCTTGGTAAAAAAAAATAAAATAAAATAATTTTCACAATTAAAAACTATTGCATGCACACTCTTTATATTCCATTTTGTCAATGCTGCTGATGATAGACAACATAATTCAACAATGACATCCATTGAAGTTGATATCAATGAGTAGGTTTTTCTTCAAACATAAAAATAAATACAAAGTCTCTGTAAAACAGAATATTGTTTAGAGAAAAATGTGAAATAAAAAGTTCTAATGATAGTCATCATATTCCTGTTCGTAAATGGATTCAAGATGAATCAATCTATATTTTAACATTAATTTTTGACAAACTTCTCCCATCAGATAATTTCAATAATGAACAAAAAATGAATTACTACTGTAGTATAATTTCAACTCATCGAAAAACACATTTTTTAAATTTTATCTATTATAATAGGTAGTTGAAATGATTATGATGCAAAGTAACAAATATTTTTAGTAGAAAATTTATCGTTAAAAAATTGTGAAAAGAATATTAAAAAATCATTTAAACGATCAGGTTTTCTATTTCTATTTATTGCTTATAAAAAGAATAGAAATTTATTTAGATTTGGATAAACAATAAAATTCTTCGTTTAAATTATGGTGAAAACAATGCTAATAGAAATGATTTATCAAAACCACATTATGGAAAATTAATGATTATGGCTGATCAAGATCAAGATGCTAGTCATATTAAAGATCTTGTTGTTAATCTTATTCAATATAAATGGTCAAATCTACTTAAACATGATTATATTGAAGTATTTATTACACCGATTCTTAAAGTCAGAAATTAATCAACTATTTAAATTTTTACTATATAATCTTTTTAGATTACAAAAGATAATTATGTAATACCATTTTATTCTATACCTGAATTTGAACAATGGCAAGCGTCAACACCAAATTGGCAAAAAATAGAAATGCAAATACCACACAGGTTTTTTTCTTTTATTTACTATTCAACTAAATATTTTTATTAATAAATCTCAGGTTTTTGAGTATATCAACAGCTGAAGAACCAAAAGAATATTTTTCAAATATAGATCGTCATCGTATTATATATAAATATGATCCAATAAAAGATGATTTAGCTATACGATTAGTATTTAATAGTGCATTAAGTGATGATCGTAAAGATTGGATTAAATGGCACACAGAAGATGCTAATAAAAAGACGTGAACAAAATTTACCAGCTGATTATTTATATAAAAAAGATACAAAATAAATTAATTTTAATGATTTTATTAATAAAGAACTTGTTCTTTTTTCGAAAACAAGTACTGAACATGCAATTTCAAGTATTATGGTAAATAAATAAAAATAAAAATCTCTGTTGCTTTTTTTTGCTTAAAGTTTTATCTTTAAAGGATGGTCTTAAACCTGGTCAATGTAAAATAATGTTTATTTGTTTTACAAAAAATTTAATCCGTGATATAAAAGTTGCACGATTAGCTGGTAAAGTTGCTGAAAGTTCTACTTATCATCATGGTGAACAATCATTAATAAATACAATCGTTGATCTTGCACAAAATTTTGTTAGTTTAAATAATATTAATTTTCTTGTACCAGCTGGTCAATTTGGTACATGTTTACATGGTGGTAATGATGCGGCTTCAACACGTTATATTTTTACTTGACTTAGGTAAAAATAAAAGAAATTCATTTGTTTTTTTTGTTTGTTTAATTTATTTTGTCTTTAGTCCACTTGCTTTATCATTATTTAACAACGATGAACCATTATTAACATATTTAAATGAAGATGGTATGAGTATTGAATCTGAATGATATTGTTCAGTTATTCTAACTGTTCTTGTTAATGATACACATGATGTTGATACTGATTATCGAATTGATATATCATCTTACAATTCACTAACATTAAATAATAATATGAAATATTATATTCACAATAACGTCAATTAAATAATCCAACAAGTCAACTAAAACAATATTCAGATGTAATTACCTTAGAAGAATTAAATCTATGCTATAAAAATTTTACTGATGAAAATAAATTCTTAGACAATGATTGTTCAAATAATGTTATTAATGTTGTTTATGTTAAACTTGATAAAATATTTATTAACATAACCGATTTACCATTTGATACTTGGACACCATATTATAAAGAAACTGTTCTTGAAATAATGTTTCATCTAAAACGAAATGATATTACACCAACTATTCTTGATTATAAAGAATATCATATAGATACAACAGTTCGTTTTGTTGTCAAATTATGATAAGCACAATTTGCTAAATTTAATGAATCAGGTCTACATAAAAACTTTCATTTATGACAAACATTTAAATTAACAAATATGGTTCTTTTTAATAATAATAATATCTTATGTCGTTACTTTTCAGATCTGTGAAATAAATAAAAAAACAAGTTTGTTATAATTATGGCTATGGCTATGGCTTTGGTTGCACCACCAGCAGATCGTTATTTGTGTTTGTCAGCAATGATTTATTTTTATGATCGATTAAAACGTAATGATAATGACTTATTGATCGTTGGTTCTCATTATGCATTTTTGGCACAAGGTTTTATTATCGATCAAGCACCAATTGGAGTAAAAATTCTTTGTATTTTTTTTTGTTTTTTTATTTTTGTATTGAACATTATAGAAAGAAGAAGTATTGGTTTTTGAACATGGCGATACTAATCCGTATTACATCGTCAAATATGTCAAAGATACAATGGTTGTTGAAACAAAACATTCAACCGATACAAGAGATTATTATTTAACATTAAAAGTAATTAATGTTTCAGGTATTGAAATGTACCTGTAAAAAATTTTTTAATTTAGATTGGTGACAAAATTGATGATGATTTTATGCATATTGCCACCTATTTAAATCAAGGGTAATATAAATAATTTATTGTTAATGAATTTTTTTACAAATACGTGTTGTAGGAGGTTGTTTAATGCAAATGCTTTAGTTAGTCACGTAATGGATTTTATCAAAAGTTCAATGGAGGATCATAAAAAGGAAAAAATTGCTAAAGCAACTAAAGATGATCAAGGCAAAGATGAAGGTGGTAAAGGTGTTACCGATAGTGCTACACATAGTTCAACTTCAACTGTTAGTAAAGCTTAAAGCTAATTAACATTTTAAAGTGATAAACATTAACTCATCTTATTTTTTATTTTCTTCTGTTATTTTAATTATTTTTCTTGCATTCATTTTGTTCTTATTGTACTTGAAAGTGTTTTTTTCATCTGATTCGCTATCTGCATTAGATGATGCTATTTGATTTTCATCTTCAAGTTCCAACATTATTATCTAAATATATCGGTGAAGAAATTTACTCTAATAAAAAAAATGATATAAAAAAGTTTACTCTACCATGCAGATCTTTTTAAAATGAAGAAAAAATAACAATACATGAATACTACTAAACACAAGAAAAAAAACTGCTGAGATTCATTTAAATACGAATTCAAATGATAAGCTATCTTCAATTTCATCTGTATTTACTCCTCAAATGATTAATCTATCACCATTATTTCCTATCCAAAATGAAGATGACTTTGTATGCGTTTTGATATACTAATTATCTCTTTTTCCCTTAGACAGGTTTTTCTTTTATTAAATGTGAGTGCATTTAGCTTGCCTTTAGCACATCTATGCCTTTGCTGATCATAACCATTTTTCTGCATCTCAGTTTTATAAAAAGTTCCAAAATAATTGACGGACAGTAATTTTTTTGGTACATAAAATCTTTGCTATATAGTATTAAGGCACGTCTTTTTCTAAATAATAAGAAAAATAATTGATATATTAATATAATTGATCTTATTAACATTACCCGTTTATAACATGAAAAGAGCNGAGAGAAATCAAAAACATGGAAAGTTCCAGAATACACTCAAATGTTAGACAAGGGACAGTGAAATATCCTTGTTGTCATTGTAGTACAGTGCTTCTCTAAGAGAATGTCAGGATTAAATCCAAGATAGACTTGTTATATGTATAATTATAGACGAGATATTTTACTAACTATTCATGCAATAAAACTTTCAAAACTGAGTATTTTAATGAATTTAAAACTCCGTGGCCAGAACTTTTGGACCACCCTAAGTACAATCAAAGATTAAAGTTTACAAACGTCAAGTTGAAGAAGCTGGTAAATAGATATTTTTACAACGATTATTTTTTTTTAAACTTTTCTTGTTTTTTTTTAGAGGAAATCGCTGCAATTAATTTAGCTAAATTTCGTAAAGTTCAAACAGAACTTGGTGAGTTAATTAATGAAAAAAAAATAAGGAAAAACAATCGAAAATGTTTTTCTTTTTGCAGAAGATTCAGCTGAACGTGCTGATTTAGCTGAAAATCAACTTGGTAAATTACGTGCCAAAAATCGATCATCTGTTAGTGCTAGTCGTACTTCTCCAGCTGTAAGTTAGTCTTTTTTTTTATTAAAATATATTATTAAAGATTTTTTTTGTTTTAATTCTCTAGCGTGAATTACGAGAAACTACTACAACAGTACGAGCAACATCAGCACTTCGTGCTGGTTTAGTTCGTCAACGTTAAAGGATAAAAACTTATGAATGTCAATATGAATATGTTCTTATCTATCTGAATATTGCGTGTTTGAAACAGGTTTTTTCTCTTTCTTTTTAGGTTTTTTTTGTGTAGTTGTCCACATGTCACCCTATTTTTTTTTCTATGTACTTCATGAAAAACTTTGACAAAAATAAAGAAGGTTAGTATCAACATTATACTTTTATCACTTCTTTTCTACAAACAAAGCAAAAACAAATCAGCAGACGAACACATGTTAATATGAGTAGTGACAACTCACATTTACCAATGCGAATTATAAAAAAGAAGAAAGTAAAAAGATAAAATAAGATAATAAATAGCTAGCAGATATGTCATATTCGACTAGTTTGGCTTGCACAGTACTATTCAATAAAAAAAGACGAAATATATGGTTCTCCTTAGGAATAGCAAGTAAATTGATTTTCGAATTTCGACTTGAAACATTGAACTGAGATAGACCTTAAACGAGAATAATTTATTGTTTCAAGTTTCAGATCTTTTCGTTGCTCCCATACTAAGATACAGCTATGATAAAAGCATGTCTTTTACCTCCCTCATAACATACACGGGCATATTTGATGTTCGTATTTCAGGATAGAACTAAATCAAAAGATATGAAGTTTTCACAATAAACTATTCTCGTTAAGATCTGTCTTTACGCAAATGTCAAGTCGAGATTTCAAACTCAGTTTTTTCTGGTGTTCCTGAAGGGATCACGGCATTCTGTTACAATACCCCGTAAAAATGAAGTATCTCGGCACCAATAAGCTAATAGCCGAACTTCTTTCAGAGTATTCATACCTCATTAGGGACTGCATGACGCACATAGTCTCGACTCAAAAGCGATTGATCAGTTGGTTGCCTTGCCTTGTAAGCCTAATAAATGAGGCCTAATATTATCTTTTTTTTTAAATTTGATTCTCTTCTTGTTTGCATGTGCCTTTGGAAAAGACATGAATAAAAAACCATATAGAAAACATTGACTAGCTGTAGTGTGAAATTCAAAAAGTCAATATTCTCATATTTTAGACACACAAATACTAATAGATCTTCTTGATAAAAACAATGAACGGACAAAGAGTGAATTATTAAGCATAATTTTTTTTGGCAAAAGATGTGTAGTGTAATATAATTTGAAATAAATGATAGGATGTCTATTGAAATGAAATCAGTGTTTGCGCAAACAGAAAATAATTTTATTTTTTTGTCAAATCTGTAGTAAAAATCGTGAAGCCTCTATATATGTACGATTTTACATATTATTTTTATTAATACTCAATCAGATGATATTAAAATTCATTTTCCTACATTTTTATGGTTCATATTCTGGCAATTTATTCGCTAACAAACACTGGATTAGTCTATTTTATTATATATACGAAACTTTTATCGATTGTTTGTAACAATCAATGGATAAACTACTTAGATTGGAGGGCAATTGTTTTCAAGACTCTAACGAAGTCTGATTAAAGTTTTCTTGAAATGAAATTGAATATAGATCAGAGATGTTCATGGCAGCACGGCATCGGCAGTTTTTTTCAAAAATCATCGCGGCGCGGGAGAGATATTTATAATGCCATCGCGGCAGCGGCAGTTTCTTTAGAAAGAGATTTCAAAAACTCATGAATTTGCACAGAATCTCGGTTATCATATATGCTATACTGTAAGACTTAACGAGTCTGATCGATTAGCAGTAGCAGTTCTAGTTTAAACCAATCACAGCCTTGAAAATCAAAACACTTTTTGAATATCACCACGGCGGCGGCAAGTCTTTTTAATACCGCGTCGTGGCAACGGCGCGGTAGCTTTTTTTTACAACTCGTCGCGTCGCCACGGCAGCGCGGCAGCGGCAGATTCTCAGCCGCGATGGACATCTCTGATATAGATATCAGATATGAAAGTTTTATTCAACTTCAATGTAACTCAGTGACTAGAAAAGCTGATATTTAACTATGGAGACAATTGACAAGCGTTTTCATAGATGAGAAACCATATAACTTGTTACTTGCATATTTCACTATTTGTACAGTAGTGTCAAACTTGAGAGTTGAATTCAAGTTTGACATATATGGATATACATTAAAACGAATCGGCCTCGTCTTCGTAATAAATATTTATTTTCTTTTTCTTTTTTGCTATCAATTTTTTTTCTTGTTCTTTGTCTATTTTCAATCTTTAAATATACAGGTTAACTATTCCATTGGCATTTTCTTGTCTAAAACAAACGAAATATAACAACACTTGTTATTGGAAATAAAAGAGTTGAATTGGAGCGCCTGTTGGGATTAGAGTGTGGTGAGGATGAGGGAAGAATATGAAAAAGCAAAACAAGAAGCCGCAAGCGCTGCATCATTTTAGAAATGGTATGACAACTTCATCACAGAAAGAAAAACTGAATCAAATGTGAAACTGACGGTTTCAATTATGAACATTTGTTTTTTTTTATTGGTGTTTAAAGTTACATAAACTATTTAGGACGAGATGAGAACATTCACGTTCAATAAAGTATTTGAGAGAAGGCTCTTCTAAGATGAAAACTAATAATGATTATTGAGCATTTACTGAGCTTTTTGAAAGCCATCTTAAAATGGCCAAATCAATCGAGAACAGATCGACCTATATCTTTTAAATCTAAACGAAAGTCAAATCAGTATGTTAATCTCTACTGTTACCTTTCAGCTATCAATCTTATTGTCCAAGTAATTTAAAATGTACTTGTTTGTATAAAGGGATGGGAAGTTTTTAATTTCACTGACACATTTAGTGTTTGTTTATTAATTTTTAGCATTCACTAGGGTTCTGCATTACAAATTTGATAAGCATGAGACAAAACAAAAGCATGTAAGAAGAAAAAAGTACAAAATACAAAATATAATTGTTTCAAGTCGCTTAAATTTACATAAAAGGACGGTAGATACAAACAGTAGTTTTAATGGTTAAAATCGAGCAAATTTCCAGTTATAAAAGAAGGATGATAGATAATAATATTAATTCCATATACAGTGCGGGTCAAAAGTCTGGCTACACCTTTTGTTTTGAGTCATAATTTAAAACTACACAACACTAATTTACTTTGTCTATATGCCTGTATAAAAGAGGTCGAGTACTATCCATAGATGTGGTTCTTTTCAATCAAACATAAGATAACTTTTATTTATTTTAATAGTTTTATTCTACATAAACCAATTTATTTTACAGAAGCATTGACAATAATCAATATTTATACATGTGGAAAATAGTCTTTTGCATATTCAGGAAGTCGACGACCATTGAGACATAAGGAATCCAGTTTTGCACAATTGATTCGTGTTGCATCTCTTGTAAAACTGTGTGTCACTCTTTCCAGTTGCTCATAATCAATGTTAATATGAACAGAATTATCCGGTAAACATATTTTCGTATCAACTAGAAATTCTTCAATATAATCATCATGAGCATCATAAAGTGTAAGATTAATAAGATAGGGATATTTAATGATCGAAACATCTTGATTGTCATTCTTTGATTCTCTGCATAATTTGTTATTTTGTGGTTTCGAATTTTTTATAGACAATATTTTAATAAATGGAAATGATTTCTGAATTCGAAGAAAAAATTCATGTTCAAATGAACGTTCATCATATAGTGATACTTCCTGAACATATTTAAATAATCCACCTGGAAAATTATTTGTTATAGTATAGTAATATTTTAAGTTATAAGGATATGAATAGATATGACATAAACTAAATTGTTCTTCTTGGAAATAATCAATATAAGAAGAAACTTGATCATTTTTAAAATCTCTGAACGTATGTTGAATATATTCTTTTGATGGTAGATAAATTTGTTTAGGACGATAATGGTTTGAGCAAATATAAAATTCAAATATCCTTAATCGCGGCATATAACTAACAATATTCTGATTCAATTCATTTCCATCAACAAATGTATTTTTGACATAAGTAGCAAGATTCAAAGTGAGTTTTTCTAAATTCGACATTCGTTGTAGATATGGTACAATTAATTCATCATAAACATTTATTATATCTTGACAGTATAATGAAAAACATCTTATATTAGGTATAGGGAATTTTTCCTATAAAAATCATATAGTGAATTTGTTCGAAAAAATTAAATATTAACCAAAATAATCTACCTGATTATTGTTTCTAAAATCTGAAGCAAAAATGTACGTAACATCAACATGAAGTGTGTGAAGTTTATTGAAACGTCCATCAAGTATATAAAGACAGCCGGAGAACGACATTAAACGGATATGCAATTCTAAGAGAGTTGAAGAGTTAATACTCGGATATGGATCGATAAATGATAATCCGCAATGCACAATTGAAGATGCACAAAAATTTAAATATTGTAAATTGGAGAACGTAGTAAAGATATGTGCTAATATTCGCGAATTCGTATCTTCTGAAGTTGCTTTTCCATATGTAGTACGATTGATTACAAGCGCTAAGATTTGGTTTTTATCTATAGAAGTCAAGGAAGATTCGTCTAAATAAAAAAATAAAGTCAATGAAACACATGTTTATTCGATTTTATATTGATCATAAAATCAATCAATCAATCAATCTATATATTTTTTCTTTTTAACAATTTTCTAATGTATCTATGTGATCTTTTTTTTCCTTTGAAAGTCTTTAATAAATTATATTGTATCATCGATGTGGTATTTTATTTCAGTCATTTATTTTATTCTACACTATCTTCTTTCAGAATCATTGTTTAAAATTTCAATTAAAGACACTTGAGAATTTTATTCAAATATTACTTTAATTATAAGAGATTCCTTGTATTGTTTTTCTACTACTAATTTTCTTCGAATTTATGTTCATCAGTTTGTATTAGTATAGTTGAGAAACATTTTATAAAAAAAAAGATATATAATGATCTAAATCTATTTGTATAACTTAGATATTCAAAATCATTTTGATTTTTGTATATATTTTTCATTAACTAATTATTGAAAGAGTTGAAGAAAATATCTTACCAATAAAGAGAGACAGAGCTATTTTTATCTCAATATCATATAAACCAAGTCCGTATAAATTCGGATAATTTGTAGCATGAAGAATACGTTCCATACTTGATGATTCAAGATTAAGCCATTTGATTTTATGATGAATTTCAGGTAAGATTTGTAAACAACATCGATCAAGTATTGCATCAGGTAATGGATGGGTACGATGATCTGAGACACGTCTCATCAACGTTAAGCGATTTGTAAAAATTGGATCATGTGCAATTGCATTGAGTCGTTTGTTAACACCTTTTAGAGAGTACAATACTTCGACATTGCACAATTTTTTCAAAATAATCATAAGAATCTCATCAGGTAAATCATTTAATTCGACCGATGAATGTTCCTTATTTATTTTCATTTATCTATTCTTTTCGTTTATAAATATGAATATATATATGCTCATTTTCTCTATTTGACCGTGTCCTCATTCATCACCAATGAAAACAATGAAGCATTTTTCTATAAACACAATTCACAACGAATGAACAAATGAAAAAATGGCATTGTTTCTCTTTCTTTCTTTTTTCTCCTATATATCAATGAACATTGACAATTGACAATGTCTCTTTATATCTATATCTAAATATTGTTTTATTTTAAGAAATGCGCTGTGTGATGTATCATCACGCTTCATTGTCATGCACGAATTTCGTCCCTGTGACAGTAAAACGAAAAACCATATATATAGTGCTATAATGATAATTAAACATATGGACAGAGAAAAGTCAAGTGTCAATAAAAAGTAGAAAGAACATTATTAATAGTAAAATCACATTGACATTATAAAGCATAACTGTAAACAAAGGAAATATAGAAAAAAAAAGAAAATACCAGAGGATAAGAAACAGAAAAGGATTCTGATTAGATTTATCAACTTTCACAGCTTCCTTTTTTTTATTTCATTTTAGTTTATAACTTGAAGTTGATCAAAATAGAAATTAGGAAAAGGCTACCTATACCGAAAGTAGAGTTCTGCGGTTGCTAAAATTACCTGGAACCGGGAATGCGGTTCCGGTTCGAGATAATGCAAATGAAAAAGAAAACGGTTCCAGTTAGGTTTTCAAAACATCATGTGAAACCAGAACCCCTAAATCACAAGATATATGCGAAAATTTTGAAACTAATTTTGCGAAATCTTAACTCCTGAATTGTTGACATTATAGGCGGCTCACACTTTATTACTTAGATAAAACAATATTCCACATATGTACTAGAATTTTTAATCTAAAAACTTAAAGAATCAAGATTTCTCAAAATAGCTTTTACTTTTTTTCATTTATCTATGTCTGTACAGTTCCAATTCGGTTCTTGGTTCCAGTTTTTTTTGGAACCGCCGAACTCTAAAAAGTCTATACTAAAATTGAACATGGATATTGGTCCAATAGACATATTGTGCTTGATGATATAAAACCACTAAATTACGGCTACTCACAAATCAATTCATGTCTTTTTCTTTACCTATCTTATGGATCTTCCTTTTGGAAGAAATAGTTTCATTATATGTAATCAATAGCTAAAGATAAGTTGTTTTAGGCTCACAACACAAGCTGATAGATTTGTTTGGATGAGCTAATGAAACAAACAATTTTATCCTAAATGGTAGGGCTCGAAATGGGCCAATTTCTCGCAGCTCGACGTGGCCCAAAGTGACCGAGGTATTGTGTAGGTCCGTCCGGCCCGATTCACGTTTTGCTCAGTCTGGCCCAACAGACCCGAAGGATATTTTCTTTACCAAGATTTTTCCTAAGATAATCTAGATGTCATTTCATTGTTTTACTATGTCAAAGATCTTCTGTACACATAATTCTGGATATATAAGCAAACATAAAGAAAGTTAGCAGCGGATTCGAGTATTTCATGCTGATATTCGCTTTGGGACTTGGGCTGAGTATAAAATTGGTTGTACTGGATGCAGAATTAAATTCTCTATCGAATGGTGGTATTTTCAAAGCGGTCATTGGACAAAACAAATGGATGAAGGTGAAGGTTTGACGGTCTTATCCACACGTAGAGGTGTAAGCCGATGCCTTGATCAGCGGCGGCTGCTGAAAACTTTCAATTTTTTTCGGTCCTCGGCGGCGGCTGTTAAAAAACTCTCAGGCAATCGACGGCGACAACTCAAAAATTCCTATTTTTTTCCGACTGTCGTCGGCGGCGGCTGAAAGTTTTTGACAATTTTTTCAGAAAATGTCTTATTTTCGAGAAATCTTGGAATGAAAAAGGCAAAATTGATAATAGGGAACGTTCCCAGAAGAAACTAGATTAGAAGAGCCCTAGAAACTTATCCTGAGCGCTCAAAATATTTAAAAACCAAGTATATATATTTATATTACAGCGGCGGCGGCTCGACTTTCGGATAATTTTTTATCCTAACGGCGGCAGCGCGGCTGAAATGCTTGAGCATCAGCGGCGACGGCTGAGAAATCTTAAAATTTTTTCTGCCATCAGCGGCGGCGGCTGGATTTTTTTCGAAAAAGTCGGCGGCGGCGACGGCTCAGCCGCACGGCTTACACCTCTATCCACACGCCTTCACCTGACCCTGACTCTTTCTTTTTTTTGCTCGATGACTCCCCTTGAAAATACCACCATTCGATAGAGAATTTAATTCTATATTCAGCGCAACCACTTTTAGGGGCAGCCCAACTCTTAGACCCAATATCAGCAAGATATACTAGTATGATAGGCTGAGCAAAAACCAGCATTTGGGGACAAAACTCCATTTTTTGCCCGATGATCCACCTTGAAAATATCACCATTAGACAGAGAATTTAATTCTGCATCCAGCCCAACTAATGTTATAGTCAGCCCAAGTCTAAAAGTGAATATCAGCATGAAATACTCGAATCCGCTGCTAACTTTCTTTACGTTATAAGCAAATGGTTTTAAATAAATTTGGCTGTTTTTTTTTTACTTTAAATTTTGTCATTGTCGAAGCACACGATCGGTGAATAATTTTTATCGTTTCTTAACGATTTACTCCAATACACTATTATCTGTTTAAAACTATTTATTGAAGATACTGAATTTCATATTATGATGCATTTCAGAGACAGTTACAGAATAATGACTTCATGATCATTTAACTCTTAAATATTTCAAATATGATGTTATAATAAATGAAAATTTGTATGAAAGGATTATATTTAGATCGGTACAAAAAGCAGCTGTTAAATGTGGAATATTCGTTTTCATATTATGCCCGCATTTTTGCACAGAGGACGACCATTAATTACATATGGAAACATTTGAGCATGGTTGATTAATTCTTTTTTGGTATAGAATGATGAAATTAGTGCCACTCGTTATGAAAGAGTTCATTAGTTCTGTTGTGACATAATTATGATGAGAAACATATTTCAATTCTAAGATAACATGGACGCTAATTTCTACTTTTGTCGAAAGTAGAAGTAAAAAATTTGGTTTGCAGCACAAATGCGAGAAATCTATTATTTTTAGACGATCTTCGTATCTAATAGTATCCCATATTGCTCTATTAAAATAAATAAAATAACGAGTCAAAGGAAGTTTGATTTACATGAATATTCTCTCAATTCTAATAATAGACATCGTCTTTCTAAAAATGAGTTCTCTTAAATACTTATAATAAACACAAAAAAGATTTTCCATAATTCTTCGTCTATTCTCCTTATACTATGTATATCGTTAAATGAAATAGAATGACATCTATTGAAATTAAATGGAAACAATTTTTTTTTCATATTAAAAAACTATTAACTTACATATTGACTTCATTGAAAATGATAAGTGATACCTATTTCTACAAGTTAAATGAACAACAGTAGTGTTCATTTTGAATTGACTCATCATTTGGAATATAAAGCGGTAATAGACAGAAATAGAAATCGACTAGAAAGACTTATTCCAATAGAGGATAAACTATAGATTCGAACAAGTGTCACATGACTATTTAAATAGAGGGAAATAGACAAAAGTAGTTTCACATCTAACTATTATTCATTTTTAGATTTGGTGGGTAATTCTTTAGCTGGTGTTCCACCCTCACCCTCATGCAATGGAATAGCAGTGAGAGTGGAACATTTGCTAAAGGAATATGGATTTGGTGCAAGAACAGACAAGAATCTATCGTTATGTTTGTTTCTAAACGCTATTTCCATTAATGACGTTATTTTCATCATGGCGTATTCAATGAATAAATCCATCAGTGATGCACCAAATAAAGATGAAGAAACTTATCAACTTCTCGAACAACTTGATGACATTCTTTAATGACTTGAAACATATATTGGTTCAAATAAGCCACGTCACGAAGTACGATTATTATTTGTTCAAATTTCTTCTACAATTATTGTTTATAGGAAATGTGGATTCTTGATGAAAAAGCTGAAGAAGGTCCAAAAATTATCAAAAAAGAAATTATCTATGTACCCGATCTTTATAAAATTTTTGATGAAATTCTCGGTAAAAATAACCTATACTATATAAATCTATCATACACACAATCTTTGTATTCCATTCAGTGAATGCTGCTGATAATAAGCAACGTGATTCAACAATGACATCAATAGAAGTTGATATCAATCAGTAAGTATTTTTTTTTGCTTCAAAGAAAAACAAACTTTCTATTATACATTGTATAATTTAGAGAAAAATGTGAAATAAACATTTGTATTGATGGTTGTGGTACTCCTGTTCGTAAATGGGCTCAAGCTGGACCAATTTATATTCCAACATTAATTTTTGGTAAACTTCTTACATCCAATAATTCCAATGATGATCAAAAACGAGTTACTGGTATGAATAGAACTTATCAAAAATTTTTCTTTGAAAGTTTTATCTATTACAATAGGTGGTCGAAATGGTTATGGTGCAAAAGTAACCGATATTTTTAGTACAAAATTTACCGTTGAAACATGTTCAAAAGAATATAAAAAATTATTTAAACAAGTAAGTTTTCTATTTATCTTAAATAATAATAAAAAAGAAATACATATTGTTTTAGGCATAGACGTACAATATGCGTGATCCCCAAGATGCAATTATAACAAAAATAAGTGATAATCTAAAAGAATTTACATGTATTACATTTATACCTGATTTAAAACGTTTTCAAATGGATAAATTTGATGATTATCTTGTTTCATTATTTAAACGACGTGTTTATGATGTGGCTGTATCAACTGGTTGTAAAGTAACACTTAATGGTAAACGTATTCCAATTGAAAATATGAAAGATTATATGTTCATGTATCTTGATAATACAACAGAAAAAGAAATTGTTTATAAAAAAGTAAATGATCGTTGGGAAATTGGTATAGCTAAAAATGATTATAATAATGGTTGTACACAAGTTAGTTTTGTTAATTCAATATTAACATCTGAAGGTGGTAAACATGTTGATTATATAACTGAACAGGTTTGTCCAAAATTAGTTGAATATATTAAGAAAAAAAGTAAAACAGCTGGTGAAAATTGAAAACCAATGCAAGTTAAAAATCATACATTTCCTTTTGTTAGTTGTTTAATTGAAAATCCTGAATTTGAATCTCAAGCTAAAAAACAATTAGCTACTGAACGTAAATATTTTGGTTCAACATGTCCATTAAAAGATGATGAAAATCTTTTAAAATNAAATCGTACTCATATAGGACATTTATGCCGGATGAGTCATAATGATTGCAACATCAAGTATTTTGAAAATATCTCAGTACAGATAAATCGTATAGTTATTAATTTCTTTTTCAAAAAATACGTTGTGAAATCCTTTACAAGAATAATAAGGAGACACCCTACTGAGTTAATTTGATGATTTTTTTTTATAAGGCTCAGAATGAAAAAAGCATTGATTATTGTGCATACCGTATCATGAAAAATTGTTACTATTTTATCAGACCGAACGTAACCGGTTATTTGGTCATTAAACTTGGTGTCTACCTAAAGATCAGGGATTTTCTTATTCGTCAGACGTAAGTCTATTAAATTATTCTACCTGAGATAGTGTGAATAAAAACATTGATAATCACAAGGTCAAAATACGATAAGATTTGACGAAAGAAATAAAAAGCACATGCTAAAAAATTGATGTGAGTTGTGTTCAGAATGTGATCGGCTCTTTTCTCCAAAGGATTCGTGCCGTTGAATTACATTCCAAGCAGACAAAAATTTAGAAAAACGCGTTTAAACGCACAAAAGGAAATCGCAATTCTGAGCCATTCATGCTAATTATTAAAACGCCAGAACCGCCGTTTTTAGGATGAAATTATCACTTTTAGAGCATTAAAATGGTCAAAAACTCCTGTTTTCAGCGTTTAAACGTATCTTCATTCTAGAATTTAAAATGTATGCGTTTAATCGCTAAAAATAGGAGTTTTTGACCATTTTAACGCTCTAAAAGTGATAATTTCACGCTAAAAATAACATTTCTGACGTTTTAATAGTTAGCGTGAATGACTCACAATCTCGGTTCCCTTTTGTGCGTTTAAACGCTTTTTTCACAAATTTTTGTCTGCTTGGGATAATGGTGATCATATTTTTCATCGTATTTTATTTCAATTGTTTTTGAAAACAAATGATAACATCACGAAAAGGTTTTATTTTAAATAAGACGAATGCTATTTTTTAATGTGATTTTCATTTTTACTTCTTTCGGAATAATGGGACTTTTCACCAACATGCAGTGCTACACTTTTACTCTTCAAAAAAATTCATCAAACTAATTCAATAGAGTGTCTCCTTATTATTCTTGTAAAGGATTTCACAACGTATTTTTTGAAAAAGAAATTAATAACTATACGATTTATCTGTACTGAGATATTTTCAAAATACTTGATGTTGCAATCATTATGACTCATCCGGCATAAATGTCCTATATGAGTACGATTTTTTGTACCCGGACCGGAACTAATGGGCATCCAGCAGATACTTTCATCACAGTCATAGTACAGTTTCCAAACTTTTACTATAATATGAAATAGTATCCTTTTTAGTTTCTTCCATAAACAAGAATAAAAAAAATCATCTCAAATTTCACAAAAAAGCAAGTGATTCAGGATTGATTCGGTGTCTTTCTGCTTCTAATACTTGATTAATTACGCTAAGCCGTACGTTTGGTTGTTGTTGAAGACGCTAGAATGATAGTTCAGTGTCTTTGCCAAACGTATACACATGAATGCTTTCTTCATCAGAATAATGCATGTTCCCCTTTTTCATAATTCATATCCTTTTCATGTATTCAACGACTTCGCCATATGGTTCCTTATCATCTGTCAATGAATTTTCATTAAAAACGAATTCTCTTAGTAAAACAAATATCTCGTTTCACATTTCTGTGATCTGTTCTCAAATACAGTAAATGGCTCAATCATGATCGAATCGGTTTTCATTCCTATGCATATATAGCATGTTGAGAAAGTAAACATATTTTTAAATGTCAAGATCTCATATACTGTTGAGTACTCAATCCGATTACATAATATTTAATTATAAAAATGAAAAATTTCTATTTGACGACGTTTTTTCTCCTTAAGGCAAAACGTTCGAAAAGTGCTACAAATAATGCATCATTAACGTCAAATCGTAAACGACAACGTACATCATCATCAACAAGTTATGCATCAGCAACAAAAAAAGTTCGTCGTCAACAATCCAATACAAATAGTATATCATCATCAATAAATAAGCGAAAAATTCGTCGTACAGCTGCATCTAATCCAATAAATTATCATGAAGAATCTGATGATGATGATATAAATGATCAAACACGACGTAAAATAAAAAAACAACAACGTCATTTATCATCGAATTCTGATAGTGATATAGATCAAAATACAAATTCAAATAATAATGATGATGAATCAAATTCAAATGAATATCAACAACAAACAAAAATAAATTTAATAACTGATCTTGAATTAAATACAGCTAAACGTCAAACAAAATTTCGTTCATCAGATAATTTATCATCGTCTGGTGAAGGTCTAACATTAGTAAATGATGAACCATCGTCAGAAATAATTGAAAAAGTTTTAAAAGTACGTTTTGGTCGAAAAGATGCAACCGGACCATCAACAACTATATACAATATTGATGAATGTGGTGATCCAAATGAAAATTATAATGGTGATGATGAAACACAATCTGATGGTGAACAACAATTTTTAATTAAATGGAAGAATTGGTCACATTTACATAATACATGGGAAAGTCATTCTAGTTTACAACAAGCACATGTTAAAAGTTCACGTATATTAGAAAATTTTCTTAAACAACATGAACAAACACGTTTATGGCGTCGTGAAAATTGTAATATGGATGAAATTGAATTATTTGAATGTCAACAAGAATTAAATGATACAGCATTAGCTGGTTATCAACATGTTGAACGTATAATAGCACATGAAAAAAATCGTGAACAAGATAATACATATGATTATTTATGCAAGTGGGATGGTCTTCAATATAGTGACTGTACATGGGAAGATGGAAATTTGATTGCTAAAAGATTTCAATCAAAAATTGATGAATATAATGCAAGATTAAAACAGCAAACAGAAGATTTACAATTACAACAACAACAACAAAATAGTGGTAGTACAAGAAAGAAAACGAATATAACACGACCAAGATATGTACCAATAACAGTACAACCAACATATTTAGCTCCTGAAGAACCTGAGTTTAAATTAAGAGATTATCAATTAGAAGGTTTAAATTGGTTAGCTCATTCGTGGTGTAAACAAAATTCCGTTATATTAGCAGATGAAATGGGACTTGGTAAAAGATTTTGCTTTTTTTTGTAAATTTAAGAAAAAAAAATAGATTTCAAAGATGAAATTGAAAAATGTTCTTGGGATTTATCTTTCACGAACATGACTAGTTGTAAATGTCAGTACACCATAAAATTTAGACTGTTTTTAAAATGTAACGTAAAAGTGGTCATACCAAATTTTTTGTATCTCATTTTTCTCGAAAGCTTCTCGGATAAAATATAGGAAAATCAAGGGATGTAGGTCTAGAACGATTAGTTTCTCTAGTAAATAGTAAAGAAAAAATCGAACAGCTCGGTTATATTAAATAACAGAGCTAATTTTTACAGTGTTTAAAATAGCAGAGAAATTTGAGACACACGAAATCGTCAAAAAGAAAAATCTCTTTTATGAGAAAAACGCAAAAATAAGCTTTAGCACTGTAATTCGAGCCTTTTTCTATCATAAATGGATATAAAAAGAATCTCCGAGTAATTTGCCATAAATGATCGAGTAGAATAAATCAAATGAACATATATCAAGAGGTAGATGTCAATCTTCACTTATACTCATCACAATCAAAAGTCAACAAAAAAAGCTTTAAAGGTTTTTCAGAAAAATCTATGTAACCTTTTTAAATCTCATTATAAAATCAATAAACTATGGTACCTTTCGAAATTAGATGCTTCGCTCTCACAGACCGTAACAGACGCTTATCAGAGACCATCATAGACGCTAGCCAAAACTCATGGCAGACTACGACGGACACTTTAGCAATACTTCCTCGTGTCACAAACAATGTCAATATACAATTATTGACCGTATAATGATAATGTCTTGTTAAACAATTTCGTTGTGATTAGTAAGAGTAGCTATATTGTATTTCACATTTTAATCGTGCCAACAGTCTTCTTAAAAAATATTCTGTTTATAATAATAATAAACATAATAATTTATATACTTGTCTTTAGGTAAAACAATCCAAACAATATCATTTCTTTCTTATATATTCGAAGAACATAATTTTCATGGTCCATTTTTAATTGTTGTCCCTTTATCAACAATACAAGGTTGGCAACAAGAATTTCAACGTTGGGCACCTTATATGAATACTATTGTATATATTGGTGATATGATATCACGTGAAAAAATTCGTCATTTTGAAATGTATTCATCTGGAAATAAGAAACAATTAAGATTTCATGCATTATTAACAACATATGATTTTTTATTAAAAGATAGTAAATATTTATCATCCATTAATTGGAGTGTTGTACTTGTTGATGAAGCACATCGTTTAAAAAATGATGATTCAATGCTTTATCGTACATTAATACAATTTGAATCTCAACATCGAATATTAATAACAGGTACACCATTACAAAATTCTTTAAAAGAATTATGGTCATTATTACATTTTATAATGCCAAATTATTTTGATGATTGGAATAATTTTGATTCAAAATATTCATCATTATTAACAACAAATGATACAAGTTTAGTTAAACGTTCAAGTGAATTACATAAAGAATTAGAACCATTTTTATTACGACGTATTAAACGTGATGTTGAAAAATCTTTACCAGCTAAAGTTGAACAAATTTTACGTGTGGAAATGACACGTTTACAAAAACAATATTATAAATGGATATTAACAAGAAATTATCGAGCTTTAACAAATGAACGTGGTGGAAGTTTACCATCATTTATTAATATTATGATGGAATTAAAAAAATGTGCTAATCATGCATTTTTTGTTAAACGTGATGATGAAAGTAATACAACACTTGATGTAAGAAAAATAAGAAATAAAAATAAGATAATTTCTCTATTTGATTTTATTTGATTTCAGGAAATTATTAAAGGTAGTGGAAAATTATTATTATTAGATAAACTTTTATTAAAATTACGTGCAAGCAATCATAGAGTTTTAATTTTTTCACAAATGGTGAAAATGCTTAATATTTTAGCTGAATATTGTAAATTAAGACGATTTCAATTTCAGGTAATATTTGAGTTTTTTTTTTAGAAAAACAAATTTTAACTTTTATAAAATTGAATGCAAAACACAACAGTTATGATATAATGAATTAGGATTACGTGTGAAAATGTTTGTTTCGCCAGTAGGACAAACATTTTGAAAGAATTCGAGTGGGATGACATAATGAGTTGACGAATGACACTTATCCATATGTCATCAGTAGATATTATATCGTGTAGTGTTTACAAGGAAACAACGAACTTTAAGATCTTAGTCTCTGTTATTTATACTTTTCCATGGCTTAAATCAATTGTAGAAAAAAATATTTAAAAAAGTGATTCAGTATGGTGTAGGTGTAATTCTTTCTCTCATTGAAATCTCACGCCTGAAAAACTACGTCGAATGATATAACATTTATTAATTTTTAAAATAAAAATAACTCCGACAAAAGTTTCGAACAACAGTCTTCTCATGCATTTTCCATCAAAAATATTCTTTTATGGATTTCAATTTTTTTGTTGAATACTGGCAATTAAAATTTCTATGAGAAGAAATTTATGCTTTTGATAGACAAGCTGTTAGTGCAATTCCTATGAGATGAATGTCAAACATAGTGCAGCTGTTGTTTCTAATTACAGAAGATTGCTTTATTCTTTCTATTTTGGAATACATATCTTCAACAGAAATATAATAAGGAATTAGTTTAACAAGACTTTATTGATATACGATCTATGACGAGATTCTAATTTCTACTCTCTATACTTTAACATACCATTTAGTTCGTATTTCACATAATAAGTCATGTCCTCGTGTTCTCTAGAAACTGCTCACTATGTAACAGGTAGTAAAGGGTTAATCTTCTAATTGGAAACTTGAATCATTTTTTAAAGTATTTAATCATTTTTTTTCTAGAGACTTGATGGTTCGATGAAAGGTGAAATACGTCGTCAAGCATTAAATAGTTTTAATCGTGAATCATCCGAAGATTTTATATTTCTACTTTCAACACGTGCCGGTGGTTTAGGTATTAATTTAGCAACTGCCGATACAGTTATAATATATGATAGTGATTGGAATCCTCAGAATGACCTTCAAGCTCAAGCTCGTGCACATCGTATAGGTCAAACCAAACAAGTAAATATTTATCGTCTTGTTGCTAAACAATCTGTTGAAGAAACAATTATTGAACGTGCAAAACAAAAAATGGTTTTAGATCATTTAGTTATTCAACGTATGGATACAACAGGTCGTAATGCATTTCAAAATTTTAATAATACATCAACAACTGATAATCGTTCATTAACAAAAGAAGAATTAAATACAATAATTAAATTTGGTGCTGAAGATTTATTTAAAGAAACATCAACAAATGATGAAGGTACAATTGAAGAAGAATCACAAAAAATAGATATCGATGAAATTCTTCGCCGTGCTGAAACACGACAAGATGATGATACATCAATGCGTAATAGTAGTGAAGATTTATTATCACAATTCAAAATAGCTAATATACAAACAATGGAAGATGATATTATTGAACCAACAACAATAGTACATAAATCGAAAAGTTGGAAAGATATTATACCAGAGTTTGAACGACAAAAATTTGAAGATGAATGTTTAGCTGAAAAAACAGCTGCATTGCCACCACGTAGTCGTAGACCTGTTCAATTATTCAATTCGAAATCTGATTTAGATAATAATAATAATACAAATCCTCTTTCTCATATGGATATTATTTTAAATGAATTTACAACAAATGAAATACGACGTTTTATTAAAAGTTTTAAAAAATTTTCTGATCCATTACATCGTCTTGATTTAATTATAATGGATGCTGAATTAGAAGATAAATCACAACAAGATATTGAACAATTAGCACAACATATATATAATGAATGTTTATTAGCTGTTGAACAACATGGAAACGAAAGAAGTCCAATACAAAATTCTCAAGCATCATCGTCATCACCTAAAGATGAATCAACAACAAATCATCGTGAAAAAACTTCAACTATACGTTTACATAATGTTACAATAAATGCATTACAATTAATTAATTCTATACGAGATTTAGAACCATTAAAAAAACTTTTTCATTCACATAATGAACAACGTAAAACATTTACATTTCCATCATTAATTAAAATAAAACCAGTTCATTGGTCATGTTCATGGTCATTAGAAGATGATAAAGCTTTATTACGTGGTATTTATGAATATGGATATTTGAATTGGGAACAAATTAAAATGGAACCAGAATTAGGTCTTTCATCGAAAATTCTTTTTGATGATAAACAATTAAAACCACAAGCAAATCATTTACAAACACGTGCTGATTATCTTTTACGTTTATTAAAACAATATTATGATAGTCAATCGAATAAGAAAAAAGATTTAACAAAGAAAAAACATTTAGTAACGCAAGCATCAACGAAAAAAACAAAAGCAACAACTGATGATAATATAAATGGATCTAATGCAGCAAAACGACAACGACGTGTTAATGGACCAACGGTTAGTAGTTCTGAAAAACAACCGAAATCCAAAGAAATTATTGAAAATTCAAGTGGAGATGAAGATACAGCAAATAAATCTAGTAAAAAGAAATCTATAGAACATCGAGTTAATGCAAATATGGAAGAAAAAGTAAAAACAACTATTAGTATTTGTTATTTTTATTTTATTATTTCGAATTTTAGATGATGAAACCACCAAAGAAAGAAGAAGACAATGCATCTAATGATATGTTTAAACAGGTAAAAATAAAAATTCTTTTAATTCGAAAATAATTTATGCCACATTGATATTCTTCCGAAATCTTCTTTTAATCGAATAAGAAATTTTATGAACCTTTGTATCGACTAAATATATAGTGAGTGAATATCTTTTGGTTCGGAAAATTTCAAGCTGATAAGTAGAGCTCTGTGTTGGACTCCAGCTACGACAGAGTCGGAGTGATTATGAAAAATAAATTAAAAAAAAAACCACCAAAGAAATATTCTCATTAACAGCTTGTACAAAAAGACGCATGGATTCTAATCAAAACACAAAATGTGACTCCACATGACTCTATTGACAGATCTTTAGTTTACAGTAGATCTTGCTTTGAAACCATTTAGTCACTTCTTTTTGTGTACTCAAAAAGTGAGTACACTCTAGAATCGGTCAGTATGTCCGGCCGTTTACACGATAACTTTCGAAATGAGAGTCCGATCACGATGAAATTTTCTACACAGTTCAGTCTTAACAATGTC